AAAAAAAAAAAAAAAAAAATTATTGCATGAAACATTTATTATTTTGGTTGTTGCCAAATGGTGATTTCCTACTTCCTCATTCCCTCTGGATTTATGAGTTAGCATTCTACTCTCTGGAAAAACTAAGCTTTTTTTTTTTTTTTTTTTTACTTTTGATTGATACCTGTCGGTGGGACTCCTGGAATCCATTTTATTTTTCCCAGTACTTTGTCAGTAGGGGAATCCATCCATCCCAAATAAATCACAGATTCACACTAGTGTCAGAATACAGCCATCCCTCAGGGATTCAGAGTACAGATACACTTTTCTTTTTAAAAGTCAGCTAAAACTGAGTTTGTGTGTAATAACTTAAAATAGTTAGAGACATATATATATATAAAACATATATATAAATAGACAAATAAATTGAGAAGAAGAGACATCTCCTTTACAGCAGACTACTGAGGGCCAGTAGAGAGAGTGAACTATATCTCAATAAGGCTGTTAAAAAGAAAAAGAAAAAAAAAAAATATATATATATATATATATATAGTTTATTTGTTTTGTTTTGAGTTGGAGTTTAGGGGTTTAAGTTAGTGTGAGCATTTGGAAAACTGGGAATTTCTATTAAAACTGAACATACATATGACCCATGGTCAAGCAAGTCTGCTCTTTAGTACATATCAAGCAGAAACTGTACAAAATATATGCAAAAAACGTTATCATGAGATGGCCGCTAACAACCCAGAATGGGATTTACCAGTATTCCCTGGGGGTGAGGGGTATGAATAGTGACCAGAGGGTATCATGGGCACAGCTTCTGGGGAATGGCCATGTTCTATTACTTGATGCTGGCATTGTTTATGGGTGTATTTGCTTTATGAAAACTACTTCCAGCCGGGCTCGGTGACTCAGCCTGTAATCCTGCGCCTTTGGGAGGCTGAGGTGAGTGGATTGCCTGAGCCTGCGGGTTCGAGACCCACCTGGGCGGTGAGACCTCATCTCTACAATAAATCAAAAAATCAGCCGGGCGTGGTAGCGCGCGCCTGTAGTTCCGGCTACTCGGAAGGCTGAGGTGGAAGGATCGCCGGATCCCAGCAGGTAGAGGCTGCGGTGGCCGGGAGCGGCCACTGCATTCCAGTTTGGGCGACAGAGTGAGACTCCAACTCAAAAAAAAAAAAAA